TATTATTATGTTATTTTTTATTATCCGTGAATGTTAGCAACTGGACAAATTGAATGCAGCGGTCAAGGAAAAGCGACCAGAATTGGTCAATCGTAAAGGTGTCATTTTTCACCAGGACAATGCTAGGCCGCACACGTCTTTGTCCACTCGGCAAAAATTCATGGATATTGGTTGGGAATTGATGTTACACCCACCATATAGCCCTGATCTCGCGCCATCGGATCGCCACTTATTTCGATCCCTGGACAACTCCCTTCGTGGTAAAACTTTTAACGATGATGACGCTGTAAAATCTCACTTAACTCAGTTTTCGGCCGAAAAGGATCAGACTTTCTACGAGCGTGGAATTTTCAAGTTGTCAGAAAGATGGCAAAAGGTCATCGAACAAAATGGAAAATACATTACAGATTAAACTTAATTCCAAGTAAAAAGAAATTTTTTATTTCATCGAACAAATCGGCAATTACTTAGTTGCCAACCCAATAAATAATACGAGGGCTTGTAAATGCCCGTTTATGCCAAAAAACTGGCGCTGAGTAGCTGGTAGCCAACGTCCAGAATGGTTCGGAGTGCTAAGGGTTAAGATATCTTAAGATCGATTTATCTTCGATCGTAGAAGATTCGCCTTCGACCGTACCTGCGGCTCGGGTATGTAAATGCTTTGGACGATGTCGAACTGCGCGTCGATGGGTTCCGGCCGAATGGCCAGGTGTTTCCTCTTCTGGCTGGCGCCCTCGATCACCTGCACCGTCTTGGCGCCTACGTCCCGCTCGCTTCTCCAGTCGAGGACCCAGACCTGGTCGAGGGACGGCACGTACCAGAGCTGGACAGGATTCTTATCCGTCGGTATCACCTGCGCAGCAAGGTCCGCGATAGTTTCTCCAATTAGGCCGGACCGAGGAAGAACGATTATCGCGTTACTTACGTCGACCACGACCATTTGTATCTCGCTGATAACGAGCACTCGGTCTTTGTCCGGCTGGCTGACGTAGACGTACCGGTTTGCGATGTTTATCGCCCGCCCCCAGGAGCAGGGGACGCCCTTGCCTCCGCAAACGTGCTCCTGGAACGAAGGCTCGAGTCGATCCCGTCTCCTCCGATCCGAACGATTCGAAAATCTCTTTCGCTTTTGGAATTCGATTTCGATCTTTTCTTTTTGCGCCGGGCTTCCCTTCGAACGCGAGACTCGCGACGGTAGATATCTCGAAACGTTTCTGCGTCGAACCACCGCGCGCTCGTCTTCCCGAAATATGCCAGCGAACAGCGCCCGGCCGATCGATCGCGATTACACGGTGCCAAGGTTAGCGTACTCACCTGAGTGCCTGGAATAATGTCGGTGGACCGAATTTCGTGGCGAGGTCGACAAGCAGACGGCTCGTAGACCAGAATGCCCCACTCGTGGAAGGAGAAGAACCTGCGCTCCTCGCTGGCGGTCGCTGGATGGGAGACAATCGAGATCGGTATTAAAACGGTGTCGTCGTTGCTACCATTAGGTCGCCGCGAAAGTTATCGCCGCGATCATCGTTTCCGGAGCTGTTTCGATCGTAACGAGGGAAACGCGGAACTTTCCAAGAACGACGACTGTTTCCCCAAGATCCTGCATGAAAATCTCTCGGCCGATGTTTGCGCGAACCCGCGAACTTTCGAGACACCGATCCGCGTTGGGACGACTTACTCGGCGTCGGTTGCTCCTGAACGACCAGGCTGCTGATGTCCCTGGTGACTCCGCCGATGCTGCTCGCCTGGCACATGTACGCCCCGGTGTCGGCGTAGTCGACGTTCTTGATCACGAGCTTGGTGCCGTTCCCGACGATGTCGTATTTGTCCGATTGATCCGCGCTCAAAGGCTCGTCGTTCTTCAGCCATTGAACTTGCGGCAGCGGCTCGCCGGCCACGTGGCACTTCACGACAGCCTCCTCCTTCAGGCGCTTCGACTGAAAGCTCGGCTTCACCTCCACCACGGGGACGGCTGTGGGCGACGGGCATGGAACAAAAAGCACGGTCGATGACGCGTTCGACGACGATCGCGACGCGCGTGGCCCGGCAAAACTTACTGTGGATGGTCAGCACGTGAGTCTGCACCACGTCCTGATTTCTAATCGCGTGACAGGTATAGTTGCCGGCGTGCATCAGCTGCACTTTCGTCAGATAGAGGCTGCCGTCGTTGAACACCCGTATCTGGCCGGGACGAAAGTCGTTAGGCGGGAAAGTTTCGTTTTACAGCGGTAATCGGGGAACGATCGTTTTATTTCGAAAGTAATTAGGGGCCGGCTGGGAATCGTACCTCCGGCTCGTTCAAAGTTTCCAGATCGGCCTGGTTTCGCCGCCATACCAACGGAGGCGGTGGCGTGCCGGTGACGTCGCATTTGATATCGATGTTATCGCCCACCCTCGCCGAGATGTGATTCACCTCGAGAGACTTGTCCAGGGACACCACCGAGACACCTGCGAATAATCCCGTCGGGGATTAATACGTCCTCGGACAACGTTTCCCGCGGCTCCCGACCTTCTCCGCCGTTCTCCGCCTTCATTGCCCGCCGTTGTCCGAACGCGAAAATCGACGAAACACACCGTCGCGTCTACCGGACCTGGAAAAAGCTGGAGAAGCCGAGCAAATTTCATCCGAGAGCCGAGCACCGAACGAGAGCTGCCCTCGGATTTTGCTCCGGAACCACCGGAAGTCCGGCGGCGAGTCGCTTTCGCGAAGTTCGCGATAGATCGTAATCGTTCGCGACGATCGGGTCGCGGAAAGTTGATCGGTAACACGGTGTTCGTCGCGGCTGCGCGCCGATAACACGCGTCGGATCGAATATTCTTACCGGCTTTGAAAACGTCGCTCGCCGGGAGCTTCTTCCCTGAGCGCTCGCCGAGCGGCGCTCCAACTTTCGATTTAATTGTGTCAACGTCGGCGGATCCTCGCCCTTTCGGCCTCGCTTCGCCACGGCGGAATGGAAGAAAATCACGGAGATCCGGGGAACGAGAAGGACGAGACGTCGGACGTTCCTTGCTCTCGATTGAGATATTTGCAACGCGCGAACGATACGACGACGTTCGCGAACCGTTCGAAACGGTCCTGCAATGGCGCGGCGGAACTATGGTAAAGCGAAGCTCGTGACTTATTTTGAAAGGGCGGTCTACTCACTATAAAGCTTGCTAAACGCCATGTAGAACTCGTTGACGTCCAGCTTGCCGTCCCCGTCGGCGTCGTCGTAGCTGATCATGTGGCCCAGGCTGCAGCCGCGGCACAGCTCCTCGAGATCCTCGTTCTCCGCGACCTGGGATTCGATTCGACAATTACCGTACAGAGAGTTCCGAGCGGCCGTAAGAAGATTATACAGGACAGTCCCAAAAATGTCTCGCAATCCGAAAGTAGGGGATTCCTGAGGTCATTTGAAGCAACTTTTTCCTTAGCGAAAATGCGATCCGCGGCTTTGTTTACGAGTTATTGACGAGAAACAGTGACCAATCAGAGGCGAGATCATTTGGCGCGAGACGGCCGAGCCAATGAGCGGAACTGGGCTTCGTGCACTCGTTGCCTGGGCCGCGGCGCGCCAGCCGAGCTCGCCTCTTATTGGTCAGTGTTTTTCGTTAATAACTCGTAAACGAAGCCTCGGAGAACATTTTCGCAAAGGAAAAAGTTGCTTCGAATGATCTCAGGAACCTACCATTTGCGGATTCCGAGACATTTTCGGGACACTCTGTATTATCGGCTGCGGGACGAAATCGTGGGAAACGTACCTGCTCCAGTTCCTCGCGCTCCAGGTTCCCGTTGTTGTTTCGATCGTAGTGAGAAAACATTATACTGACGAGATACTCCTTGCTATGGTTGTCCTGAGCCATTAATCTCGCGTGGTTGTACAGCAGCAAATTATCCTGCGCCCGGGAACGAGTCGTTACAAGCGGGCGCGCGCGGCAACGTTTACACAAAACTACGTATGCACGGATATTCCGAGTCCGGGGAACCGGATATCGCGTACCTTCATTATTTCGTATTCCTGGTTCGAGCACTCGCTCGAGTCGGCGTCCTCCTTCTCCGGGATCGAGTTATCCTCCTTCTTCGGGACGGCCTTCTTCCGGTTCTTCGACCTCGGATAACCGACCACCTGCGACTTCGAGGACGTCCGGTTCGCGTGCAGCGTCCTCCGGACGTGCGCGTTCTCGATATCTGACAAATTCGATCGTCTNTTTGAAGCAACTTTTTCCTTAGCGAAAATGCGATCCGCGGCTTTGTTTACGAGTTATTGACGAGAAACAGTGACCAATCAGAGGCGAGATCATTTGGCGCGAGACGGCCGAGCCAATGAGCGGAACTGGGCTTCGTGCACTCGTTGCCTGGGCCGCGGCGCGCCAGCCGAGCTCGCCTCTTATTGGTCAGTGTTTTTCGTTAATAACTCGTAAACGAAGCCTCGGAGAACATTTTCGCAAAGGAAAAAGTTGCTTCGAATGATCTCAGGAACCTACCATTTGCGGATTCCGAGACATTTTCGGGACACTCTGTATTATCGGCTGCGGGACGAAATCGTGGGAAACGTACCTGCTCCAGTTCCTCGCGCTCCAGGTTCCCGTTGTTGTTTCGATCGTAGTGAGAAAACATTATACTGACGAGATACTCCTTGCTATGGTTGTCCTGAGCCATTAATCTCGCGTGGTTGTACAGCAGCAAATTATCCTGCGCCCGGGAACGAGTCGTTACAAGCGGGCGCGCGCGGCAACGTTTACACAAAACTACGTATGCACGGATATTCCGAGTCCGGGGAACCGGATATCGCGTACCTTCATTATTTCGTATTCCTGGTTCGAGCACTCGCTCGAGTCGGCGTCCTCCTTCTCCGGGATCGAGTTATCCTCCTTCTTCGGGACGGCCTTCTTCCGGTTCTTCGACCTCGGATAACCGACCACCTGCGACTTCGAGGACGTCCGGTTCGCGTGCAGCGTCCTCCGGACGTGCGCGTTCTCGATATCTGACAAATTCGATCGTCTCTCTATGCCACTCTTCCCTTTACGGTCTACAGTCTCCTATCGCGTCTCTTTGCCACGCCGATAGCCGAACTTCCGCGATCCAATCGCGCGTCGACCGCGTCGCCGAGATTTCTTACGATCGAACTCGCGGATCTTTTATCGCGAGGATCCGTTCGACCGTCCAAATTGCGCGGCAAAATCGTTTCGCGATTAATTCTCAATTTGCGAACGATTCTCCGGCCTCGAACGCTCGAGCAACGTTCGTACACATAGCTTTCCGCGTAAAACGCTCGGATAGTTCAGCGACGTAAATTCCGCGTTTCAGCTTTCCGCCTCGCGTTTCCGCGGCGTTGAACTTTCCACCGCGCGGCGGTGTAAAGTTACCGTGTAAAGTTTGCAACAAGAATTGTTAAAATACGAAGATGATCCTGAAAAGCGCGCGTTGTTTACGATCTCGCTGGTTTCTCGACGCCGAGACGACGGCGATTCTTTATCGTCCGGTGTACCATAGTTGGCTGGCGTTTGGCTTACCGTGATGCAGACATCTCATGAGCCTGCTTCTGGTCAAGGACGAGCCGGCGTTGCAGGCGGCTTTGTGCAGCTCGCAGTGATTGGCATAGATTTTGCCGTTGCTCGCGCAGACCGGTCGATGCCTCCGCGGACATTTTCGCGTGCAGACGCACAGGGCCACGGTGCCGTTCGGCGAAACTTCGCATTCCCTTCCAGGACCGCAGTATTTCTTCGCGCAGGGATCAACTGTGGACAGAGGAATCGCGGAATCATCGTTTGCCGTCGTTGTAATTCTACCGCGAGCTCTCCGCCGTTTCTGGAATCCGTTTACCGGATCGTACTTTCCACGCGATTTGGATTTCAACAAATTCAAGGTTGCACGGCCCTCCGAAATCAGGAATTCTCGCGCGGTTTGCTCGTACTAATGATAATAATGATAATAATGATAATAATGATAAAATAATGGCAACAATAATAATAATTCGTCGGAAGCCAACATAGCTTTAATCGTGAAAGATAATAATTGGATAACGCGAATGCAAATTTGCGGAGGAGGGAATTTTAATTAATCTCCTGTGAAACGAGAACTCTCCAGGAATGTGTTGGGATTATCTGGACTCTACGGACGATCCGCAACGTAGCAAGAATCGCGTAGGTACGTACGCGTCGTCGATACTCGGCGAAATCGTGGTCGGAGGATTTCTCTGCGAGACGAATCGTAATCTTTGCCGAACGAAGTACCTGTTACGAGCCGAGAGCCAGGCAGGTTGGGTAGCCGGAGGTTGCATGCAATTGGAATTTTTGATAGGACTGCGTAGATCAGCCGATGCTTATTTCGGCACGGGTGGCTACCTTTAACCTTTTAGGCACGACGAGCCACTATAGTGGCTTCCGCGGATATCATCTTTCAGAACGACACGCCACTACAGTGGCTTTCGCGGATGTCATCTCTCTGGTCGACGCGCCACTATAGTGGCTTACTCTAGCAGCTCACTTGCTCATCGTTTAAACCAAATAATCGTCTTCATATGCATTGTTTCACACTTCTTTTGTCTTCACATCGATTTACAACAGTCTACAGCGTGTCCCAAAAATGTCTCGCAATCCGGAAATGGCGGGTTCCTCGGATCATTTGAAGCAACTTCTTCCTTTACAAAAATTTTCTCCGAGGCACTGTTAACAAGTTATTAACGACAAACAATGACCAATAAGAATCGAGTACGGCTGACGCGAGGCGGCCCAGCCAACCAGCGCGCGAAGCCCAGTTTCGCTCATTGGCTCGATCGCCTCGCGCCAGCTGAGGTCGCCTCTCATTGGTCACTGTTTTTCGTTAATAACTCGTTAGGGGTGCCTCGGAGAAAATTTTTGTAAAGGAAAAAGTTGCTTGAAATGGCCTGATGAACCCGCCACTTTGGGATTGCGAGACATTTTTGGGACTCTGTACAGTACCTATTCAGCCGTACCTAAAAGGTTAAGATTAGGATAGGGTGCGTAAACCAGCCGTTGCTTATTTCGGCACGGGTGGCTACCTTTAAAGTAAGGATAGCATTTGGAGAAATTGGTATTAGGCTGCCTCGTAACTTTGTAAGAAAGAGAAATAAAGATATACCTCGAGCGGTAAAGATATATCTTTGTGGGTTATACCAACTACTGCTTCGAAATAGGAAATGGAAATAATTGAACTTGTAACCAAAGAAAACTGGTAAAAGCTAATTTATTACACGTTTCGGGTTTTTACAAATGTATGTAGGTGTTCGCGGACTCTATCGCGCTCTCAGCTTTTCGCACTAAGTCGGCGGGGGCCTCTGATTTGATATCTAATTACCTACTAGATTGTTCGAAGGAGAATTAAGACTCGATCTCACTAGAGTTTCCACGTTGACGAATGACTCGAAACTAGCCCAATTTCTGGTCGCGTTTGGGCCCTTTATATAGCCAGATTTTCTCTGGAAAAATGGTAGTGGGGGTGTCCCTATGTGGTCCGATTCCAGAAACGTTCGTCGTCGTACCCTTTGGAGGTACTTGACTCGCGATACACAAATGAACCCCCGGCTGGCTGGCGCCAGCCTGGCGTATGCCTTCAGAAAGGAATATAAAAAATTCGTGGGAAGATTCTTCGTACGTTACATACCGATTCGGTAAAGAGAGGCGCGCTTTGAAAGGAACGAGCCGCAACGTGGACGGACAAACGTTCGACAAACGTTTTCCAATCGTTTCGCGCGCTTCGAGATTCGGACACGCGCGTTTCGGAGAAGCCGTGACATTTTGTCGCATCGTAAAAATGATCGAACAGCGCGTTTTACGGTTCGCTAAAAAATTGACGGGTTCGATTGATTCGTCGTATCGGAGCCGTTGAATTTCCAAATAACCGATGGCGGATAAATCGGATCGGCGCGACGGATTTGTCGCGTCCGATGCGTTACGCAAGAGAGAAAAACAAAGGGTGAGAGGCGGAGGGAGCACACGTTTAAAACGCGCGATCGTCGATCGCCGATCGCCGTAAATTGATACGAGCAGCTGCGATCGACGTTAGTCGCCGTCCATTATCCTCCGTTAAAATCCGTAACAAAGCAGCGGCTAATTATACCGGTGACGAGAATGAAACGTTGCAGATCCGTCGACCGTAGGGGCTCAATTATATTCTGATAATTCCGCGTCGCCGTGCCGATTGCAACCTACGATTACAAGCGACGCGACGTTGCATCGATTACGTTCGATTCGATCCCCTCGACCGTGTTCGGCCAGCGCAGTCCAACGATAAATACGTAGCCGTGTGCCCGCGTACGCGGCGGAAAACGGCTTATTGTCGGCGATCGTATTTCATTTTACCAATTATTTAATAATTAGTCGCTCTCGTTTCTTTTTTTAAACGCTGGCGAACAAAAGTCCGAGATTTCCACGTGTTCGGTCGATAACGAAGCATCTGTCCCCGGACGCGGACGGGACGCGTTTATAAATGTCGATCGACGATCGTTCGGTTCCGAACAGCTTCGAATAAGTAAATACAGTAAAATCTCCCTATCTGTCGCCGGGACCGAATTCTAAAGTGTCGAGAGTAGTACGCAGGAATTGATTTCTTCGAGCCTCGCGGCTCGCCTTTATTGTTGCGGACACCTCGTGAGAGGGAGAGAGATAGAACGATACTCGAGTCGAGCGAAACTATGTTGTATACTTTGTATGTAAGGCAGCGGTCAGCATCGGAGACAGCCGGTGTACAACATTGTAACGATAGAATAAAAACGATGACTCAACTTTTTTATTTCTAATTTTTTATACATGAAATTTTTTTTAATATATCGGTCACATTTTTCCAATTAAAATGATACCAAACACGACATGCTTTAGACCATTCGTATTCGTTATACGTAATAAGTAACTTATTTTATTTGCGAAAAAAGCATGATAAAAACCGATTTTTAACATATGAAATATTAAAGGCAAGGTCAAATAAGGTATGTACATATGTTTTTCGAAAGAAAATATCACCAAAGTTACGCTATTCGAGCCTACGTTAGACACTGGGAGTAGGAAGCTTTACACGGATGGGAGACAGAAAGAAACGAAGACGGCCGAGAATGAAGAGTTCCATGTTTGAAATTTGCTGGGACGGGAGAAGCGACATCACTTTGAGGACGAGCCTACGCGTGGAGGGTGTAAAGGAACTGTTCTCTATACATTTTCCATCAACCCTGGAATTTTAAGATGTCGAACATCGAGAAAGAACACGACATTTAGCCAATTTGAATATGAATTATTTACAAATTAATTTTTTTTTACATTATTTGTTACAGCATCAGNAAAGTGTCGAGAGTAGTACGCAGGAATTGATTTCTTCGAGCCTCGCGGCTCGCCTTTATTGTTGCGGACACCTCGTGAGAGGGAGAGAGATAGAACGATACTCGAGTCGAGCGAAACTATGTTGTATACTTTGTATGTAAGGCAGCGGTCAGCATCGGAGACAGCCGGTGTACAACATTGTAACGATAGAATAAAAACGATGACTCAACTTTTTTATTTCTAATTTTTTATACATGAAATTTTTTTTAATATATCGGTCACATTTTTCCAATTAAAATGATACCAAACACGACATGCTTTAGACCATTCGTATTCGTTATACGTAATAAGTAACTTATTTTATTTGCGAAAAAAGCATGATAAAAACCGATTTTTAACATATGAAATATTAAAGGCAAGGTCAAATAAGGTATGTACATATGTTTTTCGAAAGAAAATATCACCAAAGTTACGCTATTCGAGCCTACGTTAGACACTGGGAGTAGGAAGCTTTACACGGATGGGAGACAGAAAGAAACGAAGACGGCCGAGAATGAAGAGTTCCATGTTTGAAATTTGCTGGGACGGGAGAAGCGACATCACTTTGAGGACGAGCCTACGCGTGGAGGGTGTAAAGGAACTGTTCTCTATACATTTTCCATCAACCCTGGAATTTTAAGATGTCGAACATCGAGAAAGAACACGACATTTAGCCAATTTGAATATGAATTATTTACAAATTAATTTTTTTTTACATTATTTGTTACAGCATCAGAAAAGTCAACAACTTTGCCTAAACCCTTTTCCACCGCACACCACGTGCATCTTGGCAGTAAATTACGTGCAACGTCTGTCTTTGATTTTGTCAACAGAAATATCTGTCCAAACTATATCGTGTTTGGTCTCATTTTAATCAGAAAACTATCAGCAATATGTTAAAAAGAAAATCAGTGTTAAAATGTTAAAATTAAAAAAAGTTATGTCATTGCATTATGAGTTCTCTTCCGGGAATTCGAGTCAAAGGAGCCGCGGCGCGTGCCGCAGCACACGTGTTTGCCAACACCATCGAACTTTAGCATAGCGAGAAAATCGATAAATTAAAGGGCCGCAAGAAAATCAATAAATTACAGGGCCGTAGCAATATCTCGGCGTCGGGATTGGCATACTCAAGTTACGCCGAGAAGAGAGACATTACTGTAATTCTATTCTATAGCGACGCGATATTGGCAGCATTCGCTCTCTGAACCGGAAGTTGCAGAGACAGTGGAACCGATTAAATCTGGCGAAGTTCAGCCACGATGTGCGCGACGTTTTACATAGTCGCGATAATACTAATCTTCGGGCTGATACTGTACGGCATCCTCGCCGCGTATCATTTGGTCTGAAGAGGAACCGGAAACGGCCACGAGGGTCTCCGTGGGCATTCGTAACGTCGTCGCATCGATCATCACCGCGGCGGTGTGCCTTGTCCTCGAGCTACAATAGTTCCGAATAGTTCCGCGACGCGACGGAGAAACGGTTTGCCGTCGGTGCGATTGTACGAATTCTAGTCGGAGGATATATACGCGGCACCGTTGATGTAGGTATAATATGTATACGGTGGCTCCCGGAATTGTTCGAACAGCTTTTCGAACGGAACAACTGCTATCAAATTCGGCCAAACGACTCGAACCTTTCGGACACGTTAGGCCGGGACTAGTTTACCAGACGGTGGCTAAAACGTTTCTTTCCTCGAATTGCAGTTGTAATTTTCGAATAAAATATTGTGAACATCGTCCGACGAGCCAGTAGTCCCTCCGACATCTTGAAAAGATCAAAGTCGCTTAACGCTTTCGAACGCTTTCGCGAGCCACCGTAAGCGTCGCGCGACCTTATCGCCGGATACCGTTCTCTCGCGTTCTCTCGCGCGAAAACGGCGCATTCGAGCCGAGAACGATAGCGCGCGCGGTAAATCGCGTGTTCGCCGAACAATGACTCAATTAGGAAATATTGAAGCAGGCTCGGGAAGGAAGGCGGCTGCAAAGGGGCCGCGCGAGAAAGAGTTCGCGTCGGCGAGGCGGCGTTAATGACCGAATTTTGAATTCCCGTAAGGCCGGGTCAAACGCGTGTAAACGCGTTCATTAATTTTTTCCGGCGTGCTGACGCGTTTGTTGGCCCCTTTCAATTTTTAGTCCGCTCGCGCAACGGCCGAGTCTCGCAGGTGCTATCCTCCTCGTAATATCCGAGCCGGTCTTCTTTTTTTATGTTTGCCGCACGACCCGTAGGAAGCACGGCATTCCTGCTTTTAATGAAACCTTCGCACGGATGTACGAAACGCGAGTTCGCGAACCAACGCATTCTCTTGCAAGACAAAATTCTGCTCGGCGCACGGCGCGCGCGGTGCGAGCTTCTTGCCGCGGACAACTAATTGTTTAGAGTCCGTCGGTTTCGCATTTCCGCGATTGACGCCGTAAATCTATTTTCTTTCTTAGCTCGGAGAAGAAGTAATCCGTTTCCGCTTTCTTGCGATACGAATAGTGTCTACGAACTATTGGGTTGGGGAATAAGTTCGTAGCGTTTTTATTTGAAGGCGATTTTCTTTGTTGTTTTCGTTAAGCTCGCGAGGCACCCAGGCTCCCAATTTTGTCGGCAAATCCCATTGAACGAAAATGATTGAGAATCGTTTTATGATCGCAGCTCATTTTTTCGGCCAATTCACGACTTGTTTGGTGACCGTCCTCCTTCAAAAGTGCTTCGAGACGCTCTTCGTCGAATTCGGAAGATCTTCCGCTGCGAGGCGTGTCGTCGACATCAAAATCACCATTTTTTAACTTCGCAAACCATTTCCGTCCTGTAGACTCGCCTATGACACCTTCTCCGTATACGTTGCAAATGTCCCTGGCTGCTTCACAGCAGTTTTTTGGCCTCGACGAAAAGCGAAGAAGAGAAGGTGTCGAAAATGTTGCTTTTTACCTCCTAGATATTGCATTTCTATGCCTCAAAAGTAATAAAAAATTAAATCACTCAATAAGACGATTAGCACAGTTTTGTACAGCAGAAAGAGCTTTATCGAATGAATATTATACACTTTGTCGAACAGCAAAAGATCGTTGTAAAATAAAGAAAAATATAAAAACGCTACGAACTTATTCCCCAAACATACATTGGAAAGGTCAAAGTAAGAGAACGGAATATCGACGATTTAAAAAAGGTTTCCAGCGATCGTGAAATCCGACGCGAAGCTCGCGAAGGAAGGTCGAATTTAATTTCCGTAGCCGATCAGGGATTGTGCATTTTTCGTTATTTTGCAAAATGGTTTCGCGGTTCCGCCGGCTGTCGAAACCCATCGAACGCGATCGAAAATGTCCCGCCTTCCGCAGGAGTATGTACGGCCAAATGAATCTGCAAACATTCTAATGCCGCGGGTTTGCACATTTCTGTTTGACCAGGTTTTTGTAAACAGCAGCGGGTCTTTCGCAAGCTTTCGCCGCGCGCGTTCTACCAATTAATGCTCGAACAAATAAAATAACCGTTCCGCGAACCGCGTACGCGCGTTTCAAAAAAAACTGGATAGTCGAGTTTTCTATCGATTGTTTCACCGGCGCGACCTTCCGTTGCGCAAGTCTCCAATCGAATCTGCGGGATCGCGTCGGCCGGACGTAAAAAGATTGAATCGCACGCCAGAAATTGCCCGCACGGATTCGGGGGAACGTTGTCTAAACTTTGACCCGACCCGTTCCGCGACCGACCGACCGACCGCCCCGTAGATTAATTCGGTTTTATCGGAGAATTATCGGAGAACGAGATCTCCGGAGACGTCGCGTCGGCGAGTCCTCTCTCGCGTGCTGTTTCGATTAATCTTTCGTCGACGCTGGAATCACAAAGGGGCGCGCCTTTATCCGCGAATTCCACGCCGGCAGATTTAATCATGACTTACTTTCAGGCGAGAACGACTCCTCTGGAAGCGGGGATCGATCGATCGCCGGCGATATCGTCATCGGGGGTTTGTCGCTCTTGGACGATGACGCATCGTAGCTTTCGGCCACGGTGAAGTCTCGATGCCGTCTCGAGTGCTGAAAGGAATGAAAAATGCATACGTAAGAACTGCGGAGGAAACTGGGTTAAACCGAGGGGGTCAAGATTGAGACAAGAGTCGAAGGGGGGGGGCGGAGTGGGGTGCGGTCGCGGTTTCGGTCGCGGTTTAAAAAACCGAGTGGGAAGAGAAGCTGTTGGTTTGGGAGGCGTCGAGAGAATCGATGGAGGCTACGATTAGGCACGATCGCGCTTGAAAAAAAGTGCATCGTTCACGAAAATCGGGACGGCCTCCTCGCCGTACACGGTGCAGAGTCTCGAGGGTTTATCCGAGCACGGAGGCGGAAAGCCGGCGCGAATAAAATTGGTTTCGCGTTCGGGTTTTATTAAAAGTTGTTCGAAAAGGCGCGCGCAAGAAAATTTAATTACCAGCATTTTTTGCGGGAACGAATAGTTCGCGCGTTCGAGTAGTCGCTCTTCTCCCTCCCGGCGGAAAGCTTCGGAATTTGCAACGGCGCGCGGCGGCTTTTTCGAAGTCAAAGGGAAACGAAATTACTTTACTTCCGCAGGATTAATTTCGAACGCACCGGCGTCTCGAAGATTAAGACAGAAGATGGAGAAAAAAAGAACGTTGGCCGAGATTTCGCCGTTGCTCCGGCTCGGCAGCCATTGTTTCCCGACGTTTCCGTGAAACGTCGACGCGAGATTGCCCGCTGCCGCGTGCGATGACAAACTATCGATATTAAGGGGGTAAGAAACGGGCTCCTGCCGTCGGGTTTCCGTCCGTTCGATTTTTCATGGCGTGGAATGCGATAGGATGGACGGCGCGCGGTGTCATCGGGGAGTAAAAGAAAACACGGGAATCGGTCGCCGATGCTCGGAAGTTTAGGGGTTAATATACGAAGCTGAAATATCGGAGAGACATCGGGAAATGCGAGGAGTTCCAGGAGCCATTCGTTCTCGCGAGCCGTGTTATTTCACCGGCAGATTTACGACGACACGCCGGGAGCCCCGTATCTCCATTAGCGTCCCCCGGAATAGTTCATTCGCGGAACGAGTGGTTTCAATTACTTTCGGAACGAGTACAGCTGTTTGGAAGTTCGCCGAATTATTCATCCGGTCGTCGTGCCGCGCCGCGCCTCGCCGCTCTCAGAAGGAATCAGGAATCGTCCGAACGCGGTTTGGACCTCGGTCGATGCCATCGAAGACGAACAAAGATCGCCGAGGGATTTACGCCGGCGTCGAGCAAGCCACCGTTTCGCGAAGCGAGTGCTAGAATTCCGAATTTCTGTCACCCTATTCCGACAACTTCTCGTTCGCAGAAATTTAGAACGAAAATCTACGTCGAAAATGTTTTTTCCGACGATCGAAGCTCTTAGGCGAACACGCGGGATGAAACGCGAACGCGATTAGAGTCCAAGATCGAGCCGCGCGCGACAAACGCGGCCAATTGGACGCCGATGCTCGTAACGCGTATGCGCGAGACGCATTAACGTATAATGGGGTTTACAGCGGCGATATTATTAACGGAATTGCAAATACCGTTGGCACGGGCGAAAGTATGGGTTTAAGATTACGTATGCACGAAAGCAAATTCACAATTCCCCTCCTATAATTGCACCGCTTGGAACCGGCGGGGCGGGGGCGCGCCGATGCGATTACAGGGAGCAGTAGACCTCGATTCTACCATTGTTGCAGCGGCTAGTGGCTCGATTCTCTCTTGTTCCCCTTTCATTCGCTCATCACCGTTCCTCTGTCCCGCCGCGGCGCATAGGCGAAACGGAAACAATGTCCGGTTTTTACAAGCCGATGCGGCGCGGCATGGCGCCACGTCGCGTCGCGCCGCGAATGGCAATGCGATTCTAAAACTGTCGATAAACCACGCTCGCGAGTACAGAAATGTCGGACCGATCGATCTTGGGAATTTCTCGTATCATTTGAAAGCACGAATATTCCAAGCAACGTCTCTGCTGCAAAATTTCAAAAAAAAAGAACGGTCACTTTTTATTTTCGAACAATGAGAAAAGAAAAGTACACCCGATCGACGATTAATTGGCAAGAAAAATGAAGCAATTGTTCCGTCGCGACGATGTACGCGTTGCGAACAAGCTTCGATGTTGCTCGGCGATCGTTAAAAATCTTCCCGCAAGCTTCTGGCAAAGCTGCAACGGGCAAGGGGCAACGGGGTAACCGCCATCGATCGATAATGCAAAATAACGCGCGTTAATACGGCAAGTCGAGTCGAGGAACCAACGAAATCGCCGACCGTAATTGTATCGGACCCGCGCGCGGGTTTCGAGTACGCCCCGTGGCCGTGCGGCGGTGTAAACGTGCGTTCTTGCCTCGAACGAAATCGCGAGTTTATTTTTCTCGGCCGCAAATTCGCCGCTCGTACCGTCGCGGCCGCGCCGCGCCGCAGCCAGCCGGCTGTTCGGACAAAGCCGTGGACCGAAATATGTGGTTCGAAAATCAAATACGCTTTGACGCGAGCGGAGCAATTGTAATTGAAACGTACAAGGTACGTATAATGCGCGGCGGATTCGTAGAAAGTTCGGTCGCGGAAACTTTATCGATGTTGTTAACACGTTTCTGCAATATAGGCACAGAGTACAGAGCCTTTCACTTGCTTCAACCGATAGAAAATGTTTGCGCATCACCGGGGGAGACAGGAGCTTGTAATTTGATGGTCCGCAAACGAACGAATTCGCGCGGCCGATCGCAGAAAATTTCGAATTTGTTCGTTGCGCAAGTCGAAGCAACGGTTGCGTAAATTGCAACCTGTTTGGCTGCAGCGCACTCGCCGAACCGCAATTTCTTTCCCAACCTAATAGATTTCGCTTTTCGCCTGGTTAAAGAGCAGCGCGCTTCCCTAAAGAGCCGCGGTTTCAAAAATTCTCGCAGAGATTGGACGAGCGAAGAAACAATTGCTGTCGACGAAGATCGACGCGATCGTAGCGAGCGGAAGACGGGTAAACATCGAGGGCTCGAGACACGTTCGTGGATCGTTCGTTAGGTTAGACGATAAGGTCGCCGATTAATTAGCGAAGGAGCCGCGCGGACGCGTTCGTCGCGACATTTAATGGCTCCCCGCGACTTTGCTTCTTAATGCAGTCGGCCCGTTAACTTCCGCGAGCTGGCAAAACGTACGCGGCGGAGAGGAGAGCGCCTTACGTTCGTTAAAGACCGCGACTCGAAACTAACAGGGCCAATTAATTATTCTGGAACGTCCCGTTTAGTCGAGCGACCGCGCCGAATTTATAGTCCTCGCGCGGCAAGGAGACACCTTTGCGTTCGCGTTCCCCCTCTTCCCAGCTGCCCCACCGCCGCAGCTATCGTCATAATTTTTCGGCCAACAGCGACCGTTGGCTGCGGCGGTGGGGCAGCTGGAAAGAGGGGGAATGGAAACGCAAAGGTGTCTTCTTGCCGCGCGAGGATTATAGACGATTCCGGTCTCCCTTGGAAAGTTCCTGGAAGATCCTCGCATCGAAATCGGAACAGCAAGCTCGTATGGAGATTAGTTCGGCCACCACGGGCTCGAATTCCGTCGTCGAGGGTTGTTTGCATTTACGTTTATCATGGACGTCGAGCAATCGAATCCGCATCGGGCCGCGGCGAATTATCCTCGCATCCGACGATCCAGGGAGATGCGGACGGGGACGGAGACGGGGAGCTGCAACGGAGGACAAACACCGGCATCGGTACCGGTACCCGCGCTACACCGGCAACGATCCAGCTACCTATGTGCTCGGCAAATTCTGGCACGCCAACAATTATGTTGGACCACACAGCGTTACGCGATCCACGGGACAAGTGGCGCGCGGTGCGGCGCGGTGCGGCGTGGCGTAGCGCTGCCACATGCATCAGAACAAACACTTTCGGTCAACATTAGCGGAACGACTAGCATACGCGCTCGAGCAACGATCACGGAGCATCGGATCGTCGCTGATTTTCCACGCTGATTCCGGGATCGCGGTTTCCACCGCGAGCTTCTGCCGATTCTAAGACCGATTTTTCGGAATGTTTTGTCGTCGCGATGCTGCAGAAATTCGAGTTCGAACCGCTGATCCTCGATCTCCGGTTACGCTGTTGCACGGTGGCTGACCGGAGGCCTCGTTCGCGTCGTTGCCAAGGGTTGAATCTAAATTGGTGCTTATTGGAAAATGCACGATCGAACGAGCCAGATGTAAAATATAAAAGTGCGCTCGGCAAACGCTTCGTCGCCGTTCTGCCCTATCTCCGGTCACCGTTCGATTCACTTCATTTAACGCGGCTCTGCGTTCGGTGCCTCTGTGTTATCACCTCGACTCTTTTTGCTCGGATTAATGTTCGCGCCGCATAATCGAACGTATCCACCCATGTAGGCAACGTTGTCGAAAGTTTTGCATAGTTCGCGCGTTCAGAGCTTCGCGAGGCAACTTTTCGGAATTTCGTTGAAACAATCGCTTCGGATGTTACGTTTCCAAAGTTGACACGATTATCACCCGATGTTCGAAGACGGTTCGCCGATGTTTCCGAGCTTGTAAGTTATAATTTTCTTACGAGCCGAGGGCCAGGCAGGTTGGGTGATCGGAGGTTGCATGCAATTGGGATTTTTGATAGGGGTGCGTGGACCAGCCGATGCTTATTTCGGCAGGGGTGGCTACCTTTAACCTTTTAGACACGACGCGCCACTATAGTGGCTTGCTCTAGTAGCTCGCTCATCGTTTGAATCAAATAATCGTCTTCATATGCATTGTTTCACACTTCTTTTGTCTTCACATCGATTTACAACAGTCTACAGGGTGTCCTAAAAATGTCTCGGAATCCGGAAGTGGAGGATTTCTCGGATCATTTGAAGCAACCTCTTCCTTTACAAAAATTTTCTCCGAGGCACTGTTAACGAGTTATTAACGAAAAACAGTGACCAATAAGAATCGAGTACGGCTGACGCGAGGCGGCCCAGCCAACCAGTGAGCGAAGCCCAGTTCCGTTCATTGGCTCGATCGCCTCGCGCCAGCTGAGGTCGCCTCTCATTGGTCACTGTTTTTCGTTAATATCTCGTTAACGGTACCTCGGAGAAAATTTTTGTAAAGGAGAAAGTTGCTTCAAATGACCCCAGGAACCCGCCACTTTCGGATTGTGAGACATTTTTGGGACACCCTGTATATACAGTGTCAGACTCTGTACAGTACACATCAGACTCTGTCGTCCAGAGAAATAGCCTCGCACAGAATTCAGCCGTACCTAAAAGGTTAAGGTTAGGATAGGGTGTGTAGACCAGCCGATGCTTATTTCGGCACGGGTGGCCTCGTAACTTTGTAAGAAAGAGAAATATACTACTGTGATCAAAAAGTAAGGTGAATTTGTTTATAAAATGTAAATTCTTTATTTATTCTTCCAAATCAATTTCATCTCCTTCAAAGTAATCCCCGCCCGATAAAACGCACTGTTTCCAACGCTTTTTCCAGTCCTCGAAACAGTAGGAATAGTCCTTTTCCGGTATAGCCTTCAAGACCTTCTTCGATTCGGTTTTTATCTCCTCAATCGTGTCAAAACGGCGCCCCCGCATTGGCCTTTTGAGTTTGTTGAATAGCCAGAAATCGCACGGTGCCAAATCAGGCGAATACGGTGGTTGCGGAACGATATGAGTCGAGTTTTTGGCAAAAAAGTCGCGAAGAACCAATGCAGTATNGAGTTTTTGGCAAAAAAATCGCGAAGAACCAATGCAGTATGACATGGTGCATTATCGGGATGAAGGAACCAAGAGTTGTTCGCCCATAATTCCGGCCGTTTCAGGCGAATAGCTTCGCGCAAACGACGCATACCGCTCAAATAATATTCTTTGTTGACAGTTTGTCCCGGCGGAAGGAATTTATAGTGCACCATACCACGATAATCAAAGAAAACTGTCAACATAACCTTGATTTTCGATCGACTTTGCCGTGGTCTTTTCGGTCTTGCTTCACCTTTTGCACGATATTCGCTGGATTGGTCGGTGGTTTCAGGGTCGTATGCGTAAATACAACTCTCGTCTCCAATAATGATGCATTACAAGTGGTCCTGATAGTCAGACAGCAAAGTTTCACACAAATCAACGCGACGCTTTTCTTCTAAAAAATTGAGCGATTTTGGCACCAATCGAGACTTGACGCGTTTGAGACACGAAACATCCTTCAAAATGGTTTGGGCTGAACCAAATGATATTCCAACACTATCAGCGAGGTCTCTTATTGTCAATCGACGATTTTCAAGCACCAAATCTTCGATTTTTTGTACGTGGCCCTCGTCGGTAGACGTTGATGGTCCAGAGCGCGGTTCGTCTTCAACGCGTTCTCGGCCCGCTTTGAACTCGTTGTACCACTTATAAACGTTTTTTTGTGCCATAGTTTGATCACCAAAGGCCTTCCGCAACATTTTCAACGTGTCCGCACAAGAATATTCGTTCCGCAAACAAAATTTGATGCAAGTTCTTTGCTCAACAAAATCGCCCATTGTAAAAATCGAAAAATTCACTTTTGGTCGTTTACTAAAACACGTGTAACTCGGAGATAATTAAACCTTTTAACAAACAGACGCTTGGCAATTGTTATAGACAGTCCTACCAACCTAGGAAAAAAACAATTGCCTGCCTTCCTAATGTCCGGGAGTTTTAAATGACAATTTCACCTTACTTTTTGATCACAGTAGTAGATATACCTCGAGCGGGTTATACCAACTACTGCTTCGAAATAGGAAATGGAAATAATTGAACTTGTAACCAAAGAAAACTGGTAAAAGCTAGTTTATTGCGCGTTTTGATTTTTTACAAATGTATCTAAGTGTTCGCGGTCTCTATCGCGCTCTCAGCTTTTCGTACTGAATCGGCCGGGGCTTCTCTGATTTGATATCTAATTACCTACTAGATTGTTCGAAGGAGAATTAAGACTCGATCTCACTAGAGTTTCCACATCGACGAACGACTCGAAACTAGCCCGATTTCTGGTCGCGTTTGGGCCCTTTATGTAGCCAGATTTTCTCTGGAAAAATGGCTGGCGCCAGCCTTCAGAAAGGAATATAAAAAATTCGTGGGAAGATTCTCCGTACGTTACAATTTCGACAAAAATTCGCCGAACGAATTCCTGCAACGTTACGAAAAAAGGAGATGCGCAAAAGTATCGTTTCTATAAATCGCGAAGGCAACGTGCCGAGTCGTGGGATAAATTATTGCTGGTCGGGAAATCGTAGTTTCGTCTCGGCGACTCGGACCCGAAGCGTTAGAATCGCGTTAGCTCTTCGTCGCTTCGGGTCGGAAGGGTTGAAAACCTTTCAACTCGCGGCATAATTCTTAGGTGCGGCGTATCGTGCACGCGGCATTTATTCCGGCTTCTGGGTCACGTTCCGAATAACGCCGGCTAATAGAAAATACGCGGCATTTTAGCAAATCGTATTTGAGTTTGATCGATTATTAGCGAAGCGGCAAGTGGGTCGCCGTGCGGGCATAATCCATTCGAAGGAACCGGTTATGCCGTTTCTTGCTCGCGACGGGGCGGTTGCCGAGAGAACATCGTCGGGCTGCGCCGATGCGACGGGTTACAGGGATGCTCTCGACAACGTCCGCAACAATTCTTCCGACGTCCTTTGTGATATTTCCATTGTGTCGGCCATGCGATCGCGGCCGCGGCCGTGTAACGCGCATTTCGGATGCGCCGCGCCTCGTTGCTTATCGTTCCGAGGGGGCTAATGGAACGTCGAGCCGGATTTTATTCACGGATCCGTCCCCGAAACGAAAACCGCGCCGAGAAAAACGTCGCTGGCTCGCCGAAGCGGATCGATCGTATCGTTTTCACCCGGTTAAGTGGTCCGTGGCGCGGTCAAGCATCCCTCTTGATCATCCTTCCTCCGCAAACATTGCGATCGCGTCCAGATTATGTCGGTCGCATGAATAATTGAAAAATGATCGAACGCGTTTAATTTCGTGGCGTTAAGCGCGTCGAGCGTTAACCGTCGAGCGTCGAGCGGTGCTCGTAGACCATCGATAACCCGCAAACATTTTTACTGTATCCGGCTGTACGTGCTTAACCCTTTGGCTACGGCAGACTTTGGCACGCACCGGCCGTACGGTACGGTACGAATTCACTCGGGACATCCACTGGCTACGGCGAAGTTTTTCGTTAGACATGCATTTCTGAGGAAGTGTATTAAAATATTCAAAATACTGAATTTTATTACATTAAATTAATATTACTTGAAGTGAACATTAATTTTAAGCTTTTCTTACAATATTTAATAATCAAATTTAGTAATATAATAACGTGTGATACATTTCAAAACATGGATGAATACATAATCCTACATTACATTTTTTGCATTCGTAATGTGTATCCTTTCTCTTATCATTTTTTACACACACTACACATTTACGTCTTGCACTTTTCCGAATTGCTGTATTGCTTTCATATGGAGACGGAAAATGCTTTTGCGTCAAACGAAAAGTTAGTATCTTTACCTTTTAATTTAAATCCATTAGTTTCATCTAAGCTGTATTTTCTTAATATTTGTTTTATTAAATTTAAATGAAATTTACGAAATGTTAAATTTCTTCCAGATACATAGTTATATAATATAAATGTGTTCTATATCGCTAAATCGAATAAATGAAAAAATAGGCCCGGGAAGCCAACATGTTTCGAACGCCAATAGGCGCCAACAGTAGTCAAAGGGTTAAATAGCCGATGCGATGCCACGCGATCGTAACATTTTCTATTTCGCGAACGTTTCGCGACGCTCGTCCTACTCGTTTCGGTTTCGGTAAAGCTCGAAAGATTCTAATTCGCGCATTCTAAACCGTGCATATGGCTCGCATCGCTCGGAAGAACGTGTGCGCAAACGGATAGTTTGTTGCTTTTATTTGTCCGACAAAATACTTTTTTTCCAGCTACGTGCATGCTCCAGCCGAGGTATTCGTTCGACCTCTTCCTACGAAAGAGATCTCAACGATTTGGAAAAAAACGTGAAACGGGCGATTGCGAGCGACGCGGCAGATTCAGCGTTAAGATCGTAGCGCGCGTGCCTTAACGTCGAAGAAAAAGATTTTGCCGAGCAATAAAAGCGAAAAGTTACGAACCGTCGAACGTCGAGGATCGTCTTCGGTCCCCGGCGTATTACTTAAATAAAAAGATTCAGCTTCCTCGCGAGATGTATCACGGTTCTCGCCGCGATCCCCGGACCACGGTTCCTCCCCGGGACGGGAAGTCTTTGTTTATCGTCAGTTTTTCGGGATTCCCGAGTTTCTCGAAGCAAACCCAGCCACTCTCTCTCTTCCGATCCAACTACTTCTCGCTCGCAGTTTCTTGCCATCGTCTCGCGTCTTTCCGTCCCCGTCCACCCGCGGCTCGGGCGTCGATGGCTCGGCGCTCTTTACGAAGAGCAAAAAAGCCCGAGAACGCGCGAGGAAAAAGGATTTCACGCGGTGCACCTGGTTGATCCATAAATCTGTCTACAGAAATATTGTGCGTTTCCTCGGCGGACGAGCAGGCGGGCGTTGCAGGTAGACGAGCAGATAGGCGAGGGGCGCGGGTAGACAGGCAGCCGTGGAACGGATTTATTTTCCTGGATTTCCACCGTTTTCAGGGCTTTCGCTCGGCTCGTTGCGTCTCGCGCGCTGTTTTAGGAACGCTTCCGTGTCTCGGCCGGCGCGGTCGCGTTCGCGAGTTCCGCGATCTCGCGGACTGATATCTCGGAAACGCGATGAAATCGCGCGAGGCGTTCGGACTTTGTTCCGCGAGAATTATGGCCGGCTCACCTTATGGCCGGCGGCAGGTAGGACGCAGGTCGAGGCGATCGACACCAGCACCGGCAGCAAGAGGCGAAGAGGCCCGAGCTGGACTCCGCGTCTCATCTGAAACAAACAGTCATCGAGGGGTTAATAGAAACGTCGCGTCGCGCGATACCCGATCGATCGACGTTTCAATTACGGTCGCGGATCGGCCGTATTTTTCGTCTCCTTCCGACGGCGAATAAAAGCGCGTTTAAGTGATCCGCGGCTGATTTATCGCCGGCCAGATCCGGGAACGGGAGCGGGACGAACGGGGGGACGAAACGGGACCAGGAAAATTGCGATATTTATATGTCGCGGGAACATTGAAACGGTCGATCCGCAGGGTGTTTCGCGGCACTCGGAGCCGCGTTAATATTTTACAATTTCATAGTTTCGTCGTTTCGCGAGCCGCTTCGATGGGACGCGATGAAGAGAGAGAGAGAGAGAGAGAGAGAGAGAGAGAGAGAGAGAGAGAAAAGAGAGAGAGAGAGGGGGGGACGGGAAAAAAGAGTGTCGGGAAATGGGCGGCAGCTTCGTTGTCCGCTGTACGCGACTAGGCGACTAGGCGATTTCATTCGCCGGTCGCGCCCGACGATAAATCCTCGGTCGCGTTAATAAAACGCGACGGAGAGCAAAGTTTCGGCCAATTTATCGAACGCCCGGCAAACAAATGTTTATCCACTCCAGGCTGGCCGGCCTTTCGATTATCCGGCGAACGGGACCCCCGCGCCCCGGTTCGATTAGGATCTCTTAGGATTCCCGAGGCGGAGCGCATTCCCGGATTAAACGTTCCCGTGCCAGCCCGAAGCCGATGCTTTCCGCGGCACGAGTTTCTTCCGCTCCCATGTTCCGCGAGATAAAGACGGCACCGACGGCAAATTCGTCGATCTTCGCTGATCTAGTCGAACGTCGTTGCCGTTTATTCCTTACGACGAAAAATGTTTGTTCGAACCGAAATGAGCCGTTTATTTTGAAAGTGGCATAAGTCACTTTGTTTTGAAGTCGATATATATAAAGGTTTGCGTTTTAACACGTTTAAAAATATGGATGCTAACTTTCGAGAAGATTTACTTGTATTTGTTATCTCAGGATACTGATATTTTTCTCAGTATAAATAATTTCGTATAAACATTAAAAAATCACCGCTTTTCATTACGGTAAAGTGACTCAAGCCACTTTCAAAATAAATAGTTTCGAAAAATGACTGACATATATTAATTTTGTCCGACGTATTTTACTGAAGTGATGTTTTGAAAGGACATTGATTTACTAAAATTGTTGAATAAATTACATATATAATAATAATTTATACCATGAACATATTTAATATAAAGGTTTGATTTAAGTATTTTTTATTTTAATATTCATAAAATACAAAAATTATTAGTACATTTTGAAACATAAGTATAAGTAATTTATATGAAAATACATCGGTTCAATTTCATTTTCGTCATCAATAGGAGTGATTAAGTCCTCGGAAATCGTGTT